CGACTTTCACCGCGGATTTGTCCTTGAGGATAGATCAGCGGAACGAGCAAAGGATCGGAAATCCAAGCGCTCGATCGAACGGCGAAGGAGGTGAGGGGCGTCCCTTTCTAACTTCGAAATGCAAAAGAGGGAGAAAGTCGGATTCGGGCCGGTGCACGATATTTCATATCTGCAGCCACGAAGCGGCCGATCGGACCAGGTGTTGAAAATCAAGCCGAGGTTTCACACGTTGCCCCGAAACAGAACCGCCCAACTTCACAACGATTTTTCCTCCATTTAAATCAATTACAAACAATCGATTCTAGGGTCTCGCTCCGTGTCGATTGCTTCGCGCACATTTCGTCGGTCCTCTGACGTAAGGGCGTATCTCAATTTCCACGTGAGCCCTGTCCTACATGTAGCTTTATGCTTACCGAGGATCATGTGGAAATAGAGATACGCCCTTACATCAAAGGAGCGACGATTTATACGGACGACTACCGTCTTTCGAGAGTCGCTACTGGCGGATACGCGGTTTTGAATTAGCGCGGTAGCACACGACACACGACTACCCACCGACAATCGGACCGACCGGTAAACAAACAAACGGATCGTGACCGTTGAGAGGCGTCGCGTTGTTGCGTTCCTCTTGTCGCCCTGCCACCGAACCGCGGATTCTCAGATCTCGAAGGAGGGGAACACAAAAGCGGCTTCGGTTCCACTCCGGTTTAATCTATTTATTTGTGCGGCGGTCCACACGTTTGAGAACTATTAGTCTCAATTTAAAATAATACCCCCCCCCCTCCCCGGCGCGGCTGGAGTCCCTTCATACTGAGAGTCAAGACAACACCCCCTCATGGAGTCACATACGGGAATGAAGATTACACAAATTGAACGTATTTTGTAATCTTTGATCGGCCCATTCTCAAATTCGGAATATCTCATTCTCACTCTCTCAGAAAAATGGAAACGTCGCATGGCGCTTGTGATACTTCGGTCGGAAGGTGACCGAATGATGGAGGGCATGAGGACATTATAATGGGGCGATAGAACTGATAATCGGATTACCGAACGGACCTGAAGTGAGATATCATTAGAATAATTCACTCCTCGGTCGGCGCACAGTGGATCGGGTCAATCGGAGAGGTCGGACATGAAATTTTTCACTAAAACCAAAAATTTTGATGTTTATTTCGTCAAATTTTAAAGTTTAAGGGGTGCTTCTACAACACGGTGTCTACTAAAACAGGCTGGCCAAAAATCAGTACTTTCACAGACCTTTTTCGTACATTCCCAAGAAATTCAGTACCTCCACTAGGTGAAATTCGAAAAATTTCAAAACTTTGGATTTCTCGCTTAAATTGCGACAAAAATTACAAAAAATGAAAAAATTCCGGACCTCCATGCAGAATTTCCGCACTTTTACATATCTTCCGGACCGCCCTCCAAAAATCAATACTATCTCCGGACTTTCTGGAAGTTCCGGACTTGTAGACACCCTGTACAAGGAATGTTTACAAGGAAACCAATATAACTACTTTTAGAACCTCAAACTTTTGTGTAAACGCACTGGAAAAAAAACACATTGGATCTAGAGTCCAGACTCTGTAAAACATCGACAAGAAAAAATACTCTTGATTCAATCGGATTTTTGCTTAAATCAAGAACCAAACCTCTTAATTTGAGCGGACTTCCTTTTGATTTAAGCAAAAATCTGATTGAATCAAGAGTATTTTTTCTTGTCAATGTTTTCAAGAGTCTGGATTCTAGATCCAACGTGATTTTGTTTTCCAGTGCGGAGTTGTAACCTTTTAAATTTCCAAATTTTGTGCGACTTCTCCTATCGACTCGAACCAGTGTGCGGCGGACGATTCTGATCCGCGGAAACGTCGATAAAGGCGAGCGTTCGAAGCGTTTCGAAAAAGCGCGGAGAAGCGCGCGGCCGAGGGAAAACGCCCGGGCGGGGGAAAAAATCCACTCGAGATTCGAGGAATGCGATGCGTGAAACTAGACCGCCCCTACATTTTCTGAATTCACAAGCTGTTATTACTTGGGACGGGATTATTATCATTAGACTAAACCACAGATTCATTTCCTGTGCGCATCGACTGCCCGAGTTTCAACTCTCAACGCTTGAGTTGTCCGAGGAATCTGAAAAATCTATTTCCTCGCCGCTGCGCCCTCCCCGCGAGTAAACGGCATGTCCAACGATAGGTCTCCTTCGAGAAAGTCACTACCGCGATTCTGTTCCACGCTCTCAACGCCAAGGGACTAACGATTTTTCATCAACTGCATAGCGTAATGCCGCAGGGTTGCAATTTTTCATGGAAAATAAAGTCTTGAAATTTCACGTGAAATATTTCATGAAATTGCAGAAGATCAAGAAAGATACTGAGAAACGCCGGTTACTTTTCATGCTTCGCAAAATGTAAAAATGGTGACTTTCTTCTGTTCTTCTGTTCTTGTGTTTTAGTGCGGATTGCAATGGTTGCATTCTCTAGCCCTTGAAAAATATTAAATATTTCACATCCTCGTGATATTTCATGAAATATTTAACAGCCTTATGATATTTCATGAAATATTTAACAGCCTTATGATATTTCATGAAATATTTCACAGCCTCGTGATATTTCATGAAATATTTCACATACTCGTGAAATTTCATAAAAATTTCCAATCTTTCACATTTTTCATTTCACGCGTAAAGCCCTGCAGTGCGGACTTCATGAGGCATAAGCAATAAAACAATGGTGAACAAACGAGACCAAAGTGTTCGTAGCGAACACTCTGTATATCGATCCTTTTCCATGGATTTAAATGGCAGATCAATCGATAAATCGCAAAGCAAGCCTCACCACCGCCAGACGAGTCGCTCAACGGCCAACGAGATAATCGTTTCGAAGGTTGATTGGTGGGGCCTGGGGCCTTGATTGGAAAAGAATCTACCTATCCTGAAAAGACTAAAGGAGGCCTCTATTCGACTCTGTATACGATTTTAGATACATACATTCATGGCAAAATAGGAGCGTACTGACCCGGAGGCTACTAGGCGATCTAAAATTTGCCACAAAAGACATCTTAGAAGGCCCTTTTTGGCTAAAAATTGGAAAATATTTTTAGAAAACATATAAATTGCTCCGAAAAGTTTGGAACTTGATTTAGAGTTTGTACTGAGATTCTCAAAAGCTTGATACGATTAATATTCGAACGCCATGGTGAACTTGAAGGATAGATGGTATGCTACGATTCTAGGGCTTGTCGAGTGCTCCGAACCAAGCGCTAAAATAGCCCATCGGGTCACGGTCGTTAACAACGTTGCCACATCAAAGCGAATACCATCAGGAGGAAAGGTGGATTTGACTCCGATGTTATAGATGAAAAACGGGTTTCACGAAAAAAGTCCTTTTCCCCAATTTGTACTGACCGTGATCAAAAGATCAATAAAATTTTAGGTACGATACTATTACCGGAAAATATTTAAGACTCCCTGGTGATCGATGAGTAAGGAGAACTAGAAAGGTTCGACTTACTTTTTTTTCTCAGTGTGCGTTGGAAAAAGGTCAAAAAACCAATTTGTTTTCATTTTCCAGAGTCCCGACCCTGGCTTTATTGTTTTGCTCTCACTCCAAAAATCCCAATTCCCAAATTCCCTGACTTTCCAGACCTTCGAGGAAAACTTTCCTTAAGATGTTTTCTTTTAAGCCCGTGTCCCACGATCAAATGTACATATCAAATACTCATCAAATGCAAGATGGCGACAAGTTTTCGCGCAAGTCCGCTATCAAATGTTAGCGGGCCTTCATATGTTGATGAATCCGCCATCTTGCATTTGATGAGTATTTGCGATAGGTTCATTTGATCGTGGGACACGGGCTTTAGACGTTTCAGGTTCAGTTTCCAAAACTTACAACTCTCTGAATTTCGGATCGGCGCGATCTGGCAAGGCGGCGAATCGTGGGTGAGAGATTTCTTTTTGGAACGGACCCGCGATTATGAGGAAGGAAATACCTCGTAATGAAGATCTCAGGAATTCGTTGCTGTGCCGTTTGATGGATGTACACCGACACTCGGGCGTAGCGCTGGCCTACAGACACAGTTTTTCTAGCGCCATGCGGGCAATAATACTACCGTTGCTCTTTAATTCCTCATTTTTGGATGATACGACTCATCCCGAAGCCGCCAGAGCGAAAGAAAAACATTCGGATTTGCTGAGCGTCTCCGTGGATTGGTTACGGCTCCGCTGAGAGGAACCGACCTGTGGACTGATTATTGAAACTGATAGACAAAGCTATAGACAAAGAAGACAAAAGGCATATGGAGAGATCCATCAATATCTCTGAAAAAGCAGGCAGAAAATTGTACAATTCCTGTTTTTTTTTTAGATCATCATCGTATTATCTAACGTTACCCTGTAAAATTAATGCAATTAGTCTAGTTTTAGTTTTAAACCATGTAGTTAGATACAACGAAATACCTGTAGTAGTTACGTCATGTTTAAATAAAATTCTTAAAAATAAAAAAAAGAGAGATCTAGGGTTGCGACAAAATTTGGAAAATTAAATTCCCTGACATTTCCCTGATTTCCCAGACGCCTTTTGGGGAAATTGTCTTGTCTTGGTCTCTGACACCTGGACAAACGCCAGATTGTTAAAAAGACATAGTTAGAAATAGTTTTCAGGCAGAATTTGTTGTCCGAAACGTCAAACCGACTCGAGAAAGCAAATGAAGGTGGTTTGACGATTTTTCCCTGACATTTCCCGGTATTCCCTGACTGTGGCAACCCTAGAGATCCTATTAAAGGAAGCGGGTGGTTTCAATGGACAAAGAAGGTAGAACTAACGGCAACCCACGAGAGACCGTATAGTTAGTCCAGAATTTTCTCTCTCTGTCCATAGGAACCACCCATTTCAACCAATAGGATCGCTCCATACTCCCTATGTCTGCTTCGTCTATCGCTTTGTCTATGAATTTCAATAATCAGCCCGCTCCCTGTTGTATGTTTGATGGTTAGAGAGGCATACCTGTTTCAAGCTGATAGCACTTTGATTGTGAAGGTAACTGGTGACGGCGATTTTGGCGGGATTGTAAGATGTCATTGCCGCTCTGGTTGAGTCTCGACCCGCGACCACCGTTTCCGCTTTGATGTGTCGCCCGTTCCCGCCGTCATTTCCTCTGAAAACAACAACAACGAAATAATTACAACATGCTCACACATTTAATTAAAGCAACATTGCGCACACAAGAAGCTGTCACCATACAGGGTGACTCAAGAGTTTGGCAACCCCCCCCCCTCCACTGTTAACTTTGGAACGGTTGCACTTTGATATTTGAAATTTTGAGTGTGGCTACGAAATAAATGCATTTAAAAACTTGAGAATTCAAGAAGTATATGGCTCAAAATCATGATTTTTGAAATCTAAGTAACTCTCCTATCTCGATTAATGCAGTGTGTCTACTAAAACAGGATGGACAAAAAGCAGTACTTTTCCAGTACTTTTTCAGTACATTCCGAAGAAATTCAGTACCTCCTCAACAGAAAAATTTAGTACTTTTTCAGTACCTCCAATAGACGAAATTCGAAAAATTTAAAAAATTCGAATTTCTCGCTCAAATTGCGACAAAAATTTAAAAAATTCCGGACCTTCTTGCGGAATTTCCGTGCTTTCCTAGTACTTCCGGACCGCCCTTAAAGTCAGAATTATTTCCGGACTTTCCGGACTTGTAGGCACCCTGTACAAATGCCACTGACGTCATTCAACATTCAATGACGCTCAAAATTTCCAACAAATTTGAACTGGTCATCACTTTCTGTTTTTCCTGTTGGACATTGTTGATCCCAGTAGCCGCTGAAATTGTATCAAAGTAAACCAATGAGTTTACCACCAGTAATGTATATTTTTAGTGCTTCTGACGAAATTAGCAGAACCGATCCTGCACCTCCGTCCTCCGTCCAATTTCAACGATTCACGTTGGATCCGAACAATTAAAACGGAGTTTTTTGCTGCGCTTGCGGATTGGTGAGCGGTCACCGACTGTCAAATTAGTCTTGTCGTTTTCACAACCACCGTTGTCAAATTCAAGCAGGTTTCCGTCGAAATCAGGGGCGTTCACGGGAAAATTTTCCGATTTTTCGGTGGATCTGAGCCCGGTCATGTCGTTAACGTCAGTCATCGTTGCGCACCGTCGCGGGAACAATGTTAATTGTGAGTGTGAGAGATCCGATTCGGCGATCCGCTGGAAAACGTTTCTAATTGCTTGACCAGTGAATCTCGGTCAGCGGTGTGGAATCGGGGGTCAATCACGAGGCAAACGAATGGTCCGTACCGTTCCGAAAAATCGGCGGTAAGTAAGCATACCGTAGGAACCGCACTAGAGAAAATTAAATGGTAGGAATAGGGAGGAAAATTCATTTCTCTCCGAATAGAAAGGCGCTATACATGGTGTAAGATAGGGGTGCCCCTTGTTAAGTTTAGTAATGGCCTGGTTACACGCTCAAATTTCCGTCAAATTCCGATCAAAATGATAACCAAGATGGCGGTCAAGAGTTATCTAGATTGATGAGTAAAATTAATTAAAACAGCGTGTTGATTGAAATAAGCATGAAAAAAGCACGGTTGTGTGGAAATCAGATGAAGGATGAGCCCCGCAGCTCCATCACCTATCATCAAATTTTTGCAGGCCGCAGAAATTTGATGGTAGATGGTGCGCACCAGTCACCATTTGATCGGAAATTGATGGAAATTTGAGCGTGTAACCAGCACATAATGAACAGGACCACGTTTCACAGAAAGGAACCAAGCCACATCAGCTGTTTTCAAATTTAACGGGGCAATTTAATTTTTTTACGAAAGAACTTTTGTGTGGATTCCTTTGAAAATGTCAAGGAGTTTGCTTCACACCATGCAGAAAATTCACGGATAACACGAAAATCCGCACAACCGTTTTCAAGTATAAAATTTAATTGCCCCATAAAATTTGACAATAAATGATGTGGCTTAGTTCCTTTCAGTTTGACGCGGTCCAACAGTTGCACTTAGAAATCAAAAAGTTTGAGTAAACGTTGAAATCATGAGTCTCAATTTCCGCAGCTATTTGGCATGTAAGTGCAGTTGATGATAATGTGTAATGAATGTATAATGTGATGATAATGTGGTAACGAAGTTGATGATAATGATATGATAAATATATGATGCTGAAAATTGAATTGGAAATTTGATTCCTCTGTGATGTTTGATGAAAGAGATATATATTGACGTCAACTTTCTCATTCAATATATTTTCCATTGACTTTGAATTCAGCGAAAAAGACTGCAAGACTAGCTGGACCAAATTTTGCGATGAGGAACTGTAATTCCCAGCTTACTTCAGATACAACGTATCTGAAAGTTCGCTAAGCCAGATATTGTAGCTCTCTGATGCAAACTGTGGTTCGGTTGAGTTCGAGATTGCTTCTAACGCATTTTCCCTCTAAAATATTACTTCAAATGTAAAATGGAACGTTCTTTCAGAATCCGCTATGATTTTTAGCGCGGGAATAGCCGTTTCAAAGAAAAGTGTGCATTTTTTGAAAAAAATGCCAGTTTTTCGAACGGCCACTTTGAGGCGCTCAAAGTCATTTTACAAAAAAAAATCAAAGATGATGTTGAGGTGTTGGAAATTTTATGAGCTTTAACTTTATAAAAAACTTATTATTCGCTAAAACCAGTTTTTTATTTGGTTAGTTACGAAAAACCGGGAAAAGTCGATTTTTTGTCGAGCGTACAAGGGATTCTTGGGGACTTTTAGCTGAGCGCTTCAGACGGGACATGAAACCTTATTCATACATTTTTTTTTCTGATCGCCGATTTTTGATCTAATATGCCTGGACTATTAGTTTTATCCACATATGTTGTTTTGAATATTCACATGAAAAAACTTGAAGGCTGCGCGAGATGACTCTACTTCGCAGAAAAAAAATTTCTGTCCTTCCACATTTTTCGTGACTATTTAAGTGCCTATCATCCTCCTTTCGCAGTTAAACCATTTACGGACGGGACTCACCATTATTGAAGTTGAGCCTCGACCAACTTCCGATTCTCAAAATCGAAATGCAAATAAAATGACAAACGATCTCTGACACCATCACAATAACGGTTTACACAGAGAGGCGGAGGGGACGAAGACGCGTTTAAAATGGAATTTCAGCCCGTCGCTTTTTTTTTTGGAGGTAATCATATCGCCATTAGGTGGCCAATTACTTTATTCCGCTGACGGCGACAGAAATAAAACCGTATTGGGCGGGCCGAGGTGCTCGAAACTGCTCCGTGAAACGGTTCATCGCAGTTTGACACGGCGGAGGAAGATACTTTACGTTTTATCGATTGCAGCACTGCCGAAAAAAAGAGGAAGACTCGCTACCGGCGCTACATTTAGAATTTTTGGGTGAATTTTACGAACGACGAACGGATTATTAGTGGGACGGTAACAGGTCGCGGACGGAGTTGACAAGTTTCGAAGTGAAATCGCTAATATTTGTTGAGGGGCATCGAATTATAACGTTTACGAAAGGGCACTGATTCACAAGATATACGACTCTGCGGGCTGATTATTGAGAAAGATAGACAAAGCTATAGATAAAGGAGAAATTCGGAACATGGAGCGATCCTATTAGTAGAAACGAGTAGTTTTCGTAGACTAAGGGGTTGAATGGTGGACGAACTACAGGGTCTCACGCGGGTTGCCGTTAGTTTGTCTATTACTTACCGCCTTTGTCCGTTTCAACCACTCGCTTCTACCTTAAGGATCGCTGTAGTTCCCTTCTGCCTTCTTCGTCTACCCCTTTGTCTATCAATTTAAAAATCGATGTCTCCATCAGATACTGACTTCGATACAATGGAGTTGAAAGTTAAGTTCGTGAGGTCCATTATCTGGTTAATTTCCTGAAAAATCACCTTCGCCTTAATAAGGACTTTCTTTAGGGTGACAAGTTATCTTGGGTATTTAAATTCCCTGACTTTTCTCCATGATTTTCACGCTTTTCGAACATGCGATCGTCTGACTTTTCAACGATTTTTCCGCATAATTTCTCATGAAAATTATTTTCTCAAAATAGTACGGCCGAGAAGCCTCTTGACATCGAAGAAAATCCAAAAGTGGACAAGTTAGAGGCAGAGGCTCTAATTTTTGTCCTTAGAACGTGTGGGTGCAGTGCAGAGCAGTCAAATGATGTTTCCGGCCGGAGGAACAAACTTCAATGTTCCGCGGAGAAATTGTCTGGATTTTCCTTGACTTTTAAGGACCGGGAAAATTCCCTATCTTTCCCAGCTTTGTCAAGAACACGCCATAGCCTTTTCCAAAAATCACACCACTTCGGAGAACATCGACGACAATAACGTTGGCATCATGTACGTCATCGAAAAAATTCAAGATGCCTATAGCACGAACACCTCCATTCCTTTTTCCACACCAAAGTCTTCGATCTGGCGTCGCACAATGGATCTAGTCAATTAGAGAGGTCGGACATGAAATTTTTGCCTAAAACTGCAAATTTTTATGTTTTTTTCGTTTCATTTTAAATTGCAACGGGTGCTTCATAAAGCACATCTCACGAGAAAACCAACGGAATCACTTTAAGAACCTCAAAATATTTTATAAACGGTGTTATAAGCGTTTAAAGTTTCCAAATTTTGTCCGACCTCTCCTATTGACTCGATCCAGTGTGTGTCGTCCGGCTGTGGGTCAAAAAGCGCTCGACGAAGATGCGCGTGAAGAAAAGCGACGCAGACAATGGCAAGTCTCGACAAAAAAAAAGAAAAAAAAACATATTCTCCCTCCCTCACTTTTTCACTCCTCACTTGCAGTAATGAATAGCGTGTGAAGGCTCTTCCGGGTTGTGGGANGGGGGGGGGGGGGGGAGGAGGAGAAACGGTGGCATTAATCATCCAGAGTTATTCCGAGCAAAATAAGCGGCGCAGAGGTGATCACAAGCCCCGAAAAAACCCACGAGTTTAATAAATCGTCGCCCCGATACCGAAAACGCGCGATCGCACCTCAGCAAGAGCCCTGCTGAGCGTAGGAGCTTTGAGCTTTCGGGGCTCACGTTGGATTTGGAGTTAGGGGTTTTGGGTGGAATTGGGCCGTGAATCAAGGTTACGTCAGTGGTGAGGGCGCCGCGCCGACCGCGTCCAGAGTGG